CTGTGAGCTGTGCTGTCTTTGCTTGGGCCTGCTTGTCCTGGGTCTTGCTGCTCAGATGTAGAGGCATCATCCTCTTTGAGCCGTAGCATTAATCTTCCTCAGTGGCCTTCCCTTCCCCACTTTCTCATCCTGAGGCCCCCTACAATATCCACCTTTCTCAGTTCCCAAACAAGCCCATAATGGTTCTGATTTCAGGTCCATCCTCTCTTTGGAACTTGCAGCTAAGTAAAGAAGTCAAACATATCAATAGGTCATGAAAGCCACATGGTGAGCGTAGGATTCAACTAGGTCTAGGATGCTGTGGGAGCTCAAAGGGATGGGCAAGGGCACCGGGGTGGGTGGGAAAGACATCCTGGGAGAGGTGATGCCTAGTTGATACTTAAATAAGTAGAAATACAAGAATTAGATGTGGCAGGGAAGAACGTTTGAACTGAGGGGACAATCTGAGCAAATGCTTGGAGACAAAAAAAAGGAGAGGAGTTAAAAGCAGAACCAAACAGCAGTTTCTTGTTTGCTTGCTTTTGGGGTCCTTTACCACATGTTACTTGGGGTCCCACTGTTTTCTGCCCGTTGTGAACATCAAGGACTGTGATATTAAATCTACATCCCCAGTGAGGTTTGGGGTGAGGGCTCCGGTCCGTCGGTGGCCTCTTATTAAATGGTCTCCTAATCCTTTCAGTATGGTGTGGGAGAAAGAGCCAGCGCCACCACTACCTACCTAGGCTGACCTTGGGTGAGAACCCAATCTTTCCGAGCCTTCGTTGCCCCATCTGCCAAATGGGGCTCAATTTACCCACCAACTGACAAGAATCATCCCAAGGACAAAACACGGCTGTTTAGCCAAAATTAGTTCCTCCTTCGCACCAAGGTCTCGAGCGTACCATTAATGACTGCCTTGCCAGAATGTTCCTCTTTGGGGTTTAAAGAACGGCCCTGCTGAATGAAGTCTCGGTATTCCCAAAGAAGGGACCATATCCGCCTCCCTATTTGACGTGGGGTAGGTGAGTTAGGGGGTGGGGCGAAGGGCAGTAAACTCCCGTCCCTTCCATACTCTAACCCCCTACCCGGGAAGCCTGTCGGGTATTTTACCGTGTCCCGCCCCCGCTGGGACCGACTAGCGCGAGTGTTTCAGGAGGGGGGGTCTGACCCGAGGGCGACTTGCTTAGCTGCGGGGGGGGGGGCGCGCGAAATGCTCGGGCCTTCTGGACACGCAGCAGGGCGGGGCGGGGCTCCATGTGTTCCCCTAGCGCACGGGCTTCCACCACGAGGGGGGCTGGCAAGCCACAGCGTCGGCCTCTGGGTGCGACGCCTCCCGGCTCCACGCCGGCCCTCCGGAGCCCGGGCTCGCGCGGCGGGCGGTCGGGGCCCTCGCTGGCAAATGGATGTCACGGGCGCCTCGATCGCTCTCCTATTTCAAGGTAGAAAGCGGCAGCGCGTACAAGTGTAGCTAAAGGCAGGCCGGGCGAGGAGTGGTCCAGGTTCGGCGCCCCGCGGTAGCGGCAGCGACAGCCTGTGGCTCATGCCCGCGGCCCGGGGGCTGGCGGCGGCTGGTGCGGGAGGCGGGGAGCGGCGTGCGCTCACCTGCCGGCCCGGGAGGCTGGGGGAGGGGGCCTCCGGGGGCGGGGCCGGGGCGCGACTGACCAATGGGGAGAGCGCATTCAATGGACTGCTAAATTCCCCATGGAAAGTGAAGGGGGCGGGGGCCGGGGGAAAGTTCGAAGCTCCGGAGCAATGGAGGGCGTTGGTGGGGCCGGAGCCTCCCAGGGACAGCTGGGGACGCAGCGGCATGGCAGAGGACAGGAAGACGCTGGCCGCGGCAGCCTCTGCCGGGAGCGGTAGGCCCCGCCCTGGCCGCCCCTCCCTCCCGTCCCCGGCTCCTCTGGGCCACCCGCCCGTCATCGCCGGCTCGACAGCGCCACCTGCTGGACGTCGGCCTCCACGTCTAGCGTGCGAGGGCTGAGGCTCTTGGTGGCTGCGACCTCTGGGAGGGGAATGAACCCTTACCCCAGGTACGGCGGTTTCGGAGCTATCGCTCCGGCTCCGATGTCAAGTACCTCTTTTAGAGTACGTGGTGGGATGAGAAAGGACTGTGACTGTCAGAATAACTTCTCGTCCCGCCCCACCCACCAGGGCTGACATTTCCACCACTCAGTCCCACCCAGGGATGAGAAAATAGTGGTGAGGCAGTCCTTGGAAGGAGGCAGCAGCAGCAAAGGGCCAGAGTTAAGGAGTCGCCTGTGGCACCTGGTGAGGGCAAGGCACAGCTGGAAGCAGCCCTGGGCTCTCTGTGAACATTGTTGTCTAGGGCTGGCTATAGACAGAAGCAAAGGAAGTAACTGCCTGCGGTGTTACATGAGGGGTCAAAAGCTGCAATGGTTCCCAAGTTTGAATTGTCCTCCCTCTCTTGTCTGCCATAATAGAGGGCAGAAGTCCTCACAATTAGAATCAGGATTCATTCATTCTTTCAATAAACGTTTATTGAGCACCTACTGTGTGCCAGGCACTGTGCTAGGCGCTGGGGATACATCAGTGACTAACACACAGTCCCTGTCCTTGAGGAGCTCACAGTCTATGGGGGGGACATACATAAACACATAATTAAGGAACTACAGTGTGCTATGTGCTACGATAAGAGGTATATATGAAGTGCTGTGGGAGCCCAGAAGAGGGAGTGACACATCAGCTGCTGGGAGATAAGGATCGTCTCTTGACTGGTGACTCCATTAAACCATCACAAAGGCAGAGATGTTGTTGCCACACGGCCCTGGTTAAAATGAACCTGTCTCCTGAGGCTTTCCTCTATTCCTCTCCCATAACTACATCAGCACAGGTTAGTTTATATGATTAGCTAGTTTAACACTTTCAGAAGGAAAGAAACTGGACAGGGAAGTTTCTTTAGGAGCAGAGGATGTTCAAAGTAGTAACAAATCTCCAGTGCTAAGGTAGGGGTGGGATGGGGTACCATGAAGGCACTGAACCAGAGAGGGCAGGCCCTGGGCAGTGGAGCACCTGGGCTGAGTGCCTGTGCAGAGGGGAGGTCAGGGGTCACCAAACTCCAAGTTGGGTCCCCATACCCCACCTGCTCCATCAGTAACCGTTCCTTGATGCTGTCTGCTTCGTACTGTGCCCTGTTCTGTGAGCAATACAGCCTCCCTGTTCCTCAGGAGGTAACACCCTAACTGGGGAGACTGAATAGGTACAGGCCACTGAAGGTTTAAGTAACAGTTTGTTATTTATTATAATAACCACAGGAGATGTCACAGGCTGTTTATAATCAGTTGCCTTTAAAAAGTGGCAATTGCAATGAGTTTAAAATAAAGAACTCACTTAAGGATAGGCTGGTCTGGGGAGCCAGCTTCCACGAATTGAGCGTTGAAGGATGGACACAATTCAGTTGGTACCAGCAGGATACGAAGGGCATTCTGGTTGAGCAGAGCCAAGCTAAACAAAAGCATGGAGGCGGGCAACTGTGCACAGAGGCACGTTCCAAGGCCAGCGGAGGGAGCAGGGGGAATTGTCTGGGGAAGTCAGTCAGGACCTGATGGTGAGGGGTCTTGACGGCAGCCCAAGGACTTGGGGCTTTGTCCCAAAGGCGGGGCTGATGCTAAACTTAAAATACTTCTGGAACTGCTGCCCTGAGCCCTACATGTGTTCCCCTGTTCCTCCTCCAAGACCCCTGGACTGGATTCAGCAACTAAAGGGTTAATGCCAGGCCACTTAGAATGGATTGGGGGTTCAGTGTTTTGAGTATCACCCCTACCTGCAGGCCAGGAGGAGTCACTGAAGGCTTTCTGGCAGAGGAAGGGACACAATGGGTACCCTGGCAGATGGGAGGGGTTGCGGCAGGTCCCACTGGGGGCCGTTGATATGTGTGTTGGAGGGAACTTTTGGGTAGTTTGGGCAAGGCTGCGGGCTCTGGGAATGTGGAAGAGAGGCTAGATTTTAGGACATCACAAGTCGCATGCTGGACTTTGGGGACGTGGAGGAGAGGGATGGGAGAAGTGAAGGCAGCCGTCAGGTGGCTCTGAAATTTTGAGCTTAGAAGGTCAGGAAAATGGTGGCACCATTAACAGAAATATGTAAGTCATGACAGCCTTTTGTTTGTTTTTTGGAAAAGTTTTTCTGTGAGTGTGGAAACAATTTAAAAATCCATTTTTTTTTTTTTTGAGACAGTCTTGCTCTGTCACCCTGGCTAGAGTGGAGTGCAGTGACATCATCATAGCTCACTGCAACCTCAAACTCCTGGGCTCAAGAGATCCTCCTGCCTCAGCCTCCCAAGTCGCTGGAACTACAGGCATGTGCCACCATGCCCGGCTAGTTTTTTTCTATATATGTTTAGTTGTCCAATTAATTTCTTTCTATTTTTAGTAGAGACGGGGTCTCGCTCTTGCTCAGGCTGGTCTCGAACTCCTGATCTCGAGTGATCCACCCGCCTCGGCCTCCCAGAGTGCTAGGATTACAGGCGTGAGCCACCGCGCCCGGCCCTTTAAAAATCCATTTTTGATAAAGCGGCTATCTTTGAGGGCCTGACAGGCATCTAGGTGGGAATGTCTGACATATCATTGGAAATGTGGGCCAGGAGCTTAGGGGAAAAAGTAGGGGCTAGAGGCCTAGATTTAGGACTAGGAATGAACCCAGAATGGCTGAGACCCGTGGGGAACACCCACACTGGACGTGGCAGATGAGGAGCCGGCAGGAGCGGCAGGAGCGCAGAGACAGGGTGACAGGGGAGGCAGGAGAGCCCAGCTGGTGCGGCTCACAGGGGCCAGAACTGTGAAGAAGACATTTGCTTTCGCCCTCAGGGCACACAAGACCTTCCGATGACTTTCTATGAACTTGGGGTGGGAGTGGCAGAAACCAGATTTTAGCCAGGGACAGGGCCACCCCTGACCCATGTAGTGCCTTCGCGCAACTTTTTAAAAAAACAAAACAGTGACCCTTTCTCAAAATACTTTCAACCATCAGGAAATTGTCATAATAAACTGATTTTATTAGAAAAAGGCACTTTAATGCCAACTACTGGAAATGTGTAGTAAACGCACCTGCACAACCCTCCCGGGGGCTGGACAGGGAGGAGGGGAGGAGAGAGAGGAGCAGCCAGGGGAGGTAGGTAGGTCACGTGGATGGTTTTGTACCGAGGACACAGCACAGGTCCTGAGGCACTGATTCACATTAGCCAAAGCCACCAGATGATACAGTTGTTTCTGAGGCGACATTTTTTAGCCTTTCCCCCACACTTGGCAGGAGAGAGGCAAACTAATTTAAAGACGGGAGAAGGGAGGGGGATCCAGGCCCTGCTTTGCCAAGGGGTTGACTTTAACAGAATGGGTTGAGGACCGCGGGAAGTGAGGAGCTATGTAGCGACAGGGGAAGTGCCACAGGAACTCACGTCTGCTGGCTCCTGTCTTCTTGGTGCGGAAGGAATCAGGGTTAAGTGTGAAAGTTGGTGATGAGTGGCAACGGGCCACCCGAGAACGAGAACGTCTGCTGTAGCCATTGTGGGAGTGGCTGGCCGACCTGCGCGCTGAGCAGAAGGCAGGCTGAGCGGCAGGGACTACCCCGCCGCCGCACGAGCACGCATGGAGGTGGCCCGGTCTAGGTTGTGCCAGACAGCTAGAAAATATCAGGCGCGAAAGTAATCAAGAGGGAACCCAGGATTAGGATGTAGGTTGGGGTGCCAGCAAAAGCTGTTTCCGGCATAGGGCTGATGTTACACAAAACAGCACAATCCCTGGGCACAAACATCCGATTAATTCAGCCCTGACTGGGGACTCTGTGCCTGGGTCTGACTCGAGTTTGGGGGCACTTTGCCCCTGACTAATCCTTCAGCAAAGCACTCTGGGGTGGCCAAGCTTCCAGCCCAGCAGCATGGTGACTGTGGTGGGTAACCAGGCAAACCAGGAACGGTACCTCTGTCTAACCTGTGCGGGCTGCTCCCCGAGCTGAGTTCTCCTCCCTTTCCATGTGATTTTGTCCTACTCGGTCTTCTCACCCCTTAGGAGCACGTCTTCCCCAACACACATGCCCACTGAAGCACTCCTAGCCTGTACCTGTTCCAGCTCTGTGATATCTCTCCAGATTTGGGGGATCAAACCTGTACCCCGTAGTCTCAGAGCAATTGAATGTTGGCATGTACAAAGGGAATAGGAGAATATTTTCCCTTTAAAAACTCCCCAACACTGTGGCTGACCCACAGAGAGATACACACACTCTTGAAGACCAGACCTCACAGCTACACCCCTGTCCTCCCCAAAGAAACTAAGATACAGACTCACAAGTACACACAAATACATACAGAGATATTCACATATGGGATAGCAAGTAGGGAACGTAGGCAGCGAGCCCCAGCCAGGTGGAAGGACCTTCTCATGGAGCCCCTGCACCAGCCCTGGGTACAGAGTTCTCTCTGGCTCTGGGGGTTTTCCCTCCATCACCAAATCAGCCCATTATCCTGTCAAGAGCATATCCCCTAGTGCTCTTGAAGGCCATAGTCTGATGCCAGGGATGCACAAACTGGACAGTTTGGCCACCGTGATGCCAGGTAGGGCTGGGGGCCTGGGAGTCAGGTGTATTGACATCCCACTGAAACACAGGGGCAGGTGTCTACTTAAGTCACTTCGTATGAAAATGCAGCTCATTTTCACCAGGTGGATGACACTTCTGACCCCTCTGTTTACATGTCATGGGGCTCCATCTTAATGAGGGAAGTGGGGTTGAATGGGGAGAAGGGGGCTGGGGTTGGGGATCTGGCCAGCAGGCTCCCAGATGTGGTCACACTAGGCTCAGCCATAAACAGGGACCCTGAGCCTGAGGAGAGCTCAAGTTCAGCCACCGGGGTCAGCCCAACAGTGGGGCGGCTGGGAGGAGAGAAAGTCTGGTTCCCCGGAAGGCTCAGATTGTGGGAACCCCTTGAAACCACCTGGGTTGGAAGTGGCTGAAGATGAGCCTGATCTCTCAGGAGCTCCCTCAGGGTCTCTTCGGGAACCAGCAGCCCCTCCATAGGGGCCCCAGTCACCATGCCCTGCACACATGAGGAAGACCTCAGTGGCCCCTCCTTGACCCCAGGGGCTGCTGTGGTGCCAGAAGTCCTGATGAAGGCAGCAATGACAGTCCCAGGGGCCGGAGAGCTGGGCCCTGCTGGTCCAGCCCCTGTGACCGAGGGTGGTGCTGGGTTGGTTGGACGGTTGGCCCCAGCCAGAAGTTGGGGGAGGCCACTGAGGATCAACGGAGCCCCTGGGGCTGCCACCTGGCTGTCTGGGAAGCTGGCGCTCAGGGGGAAGGAGGCCTGCAAAGCGAAGGTGTCCTTGAAAGTCGAGGCAGGCGGAACACTCTGCAGAACAAACTGGGCCGAAGCAGTAGTGCTGGTGGGGGGCCCGTTGGTCAGCACCCTGGTCAGCGGGATTGTCTGCAGGGTCAAGGCCGAGCCTGACCCCACAGGGGCCACTCCTAGGTGGATGTTGCTGGGCACCGAAGTCGTACTGAGAAGAAACAGAGAACAGAGTTGGTTAGGGCAGGAGATACCCCCAGCTGGCTAGGAAGGAGGGCATGAGAGCAACAGAGCTGAGGGTGCTTTGTCCGTTTCTTTGTTGTTGTCGTAACTAACATTTATTGAGTACTTAGTATAGTCAGAGATCATTCTGAGTGATTGACATGCGGCATTTCACTGAATCCTCACAACAGCCCACAAGTTGTATAAGGATAATCTGACTTTGCAGCTTGAGGAAACTGAGGCACAGAGAGGTTATGTAACTTGCCCCAAGACCACACAGCTAGTAAGCACTAGAGCAGGGACTCACATCTAGGCCTGGTGACCTCAGAGCTCACGTTCTGCACCATTCAACTCTACTGCCACCCCTCCTTAGCAGGGCATCTTGGTGACCGACGCCAGCATAGTGAGAGCTACCTACACACAACCCAGACAAAGTCCAACCTTTTCAGGGAAAACTGGAGGCCCCTGAGTAGGGACAAGAAGTAGTGAGAGCTGGCCGGGTGGACCTGGAAGTCCTGAGGAAGGCAGAGCAGGCATCCCTGTAACATTCTCTGTTGCCTCTTTTCTGGAGTGAAGGAGGCTTGGGGGGATGGGCCCAGACAAGGAGGCCCTGGTGGCTCCTTGGGGAGCCCTCTGGTGTAACAGGAACAGCCCTAGCTGGTGGCAGAAAACACCTAGGTCAAGTGGTGGTTTTGCCATTACTTTGATGTGTGACCTCGGGCAAGTCACTTTTCCTCTCTTGACCAACAAGTGCCCTACTGGCTTCCCAGGGGTTCTGTGAGGATCCCATGAGCCTGGAGACACAGCAGGGCTTGGCAAGAAATTGAAAACTGACCCCGAGCACGAGGTACTGTGCGAAGACTCGTAATTACTTTGGTGCCCTTACCTCACAGCTTTGGTGAGTGTGGCCTGGCTCTCCACTGGGGAGATAAACATGGTGGAGGTAGTAGGGGTCTCCTCGTCTAGAGACAGTCCCAATTCCAGACTCGCAGATGGCTGGAGACCGACGTGTTGAACCTTTGGCTTCTCCCAGGAAGAGCTGCTCTTGCCCTGGGGGGCAGCTCTGGACGAGACCCTGGAGCTGGCTCGCCGTGTGGTGCTGGCGGAGGCCTGAGGCGGGGCCGCTGTGGCTTCACTTGTCTCGTCCTCATCTTCAATCACCACCAAGTCCTTGGGCATCTCCTTAAACTGGTACACCAGCCTCTGCCCTTCCACTTTGGCCAGGATGCCTCTTTGGTAGTAATATCTGGGGGACAAAGGGCAGGAGTTAGCCAGAGACTAAGCAGGGTGGCCCTCTATCTCCTTCTCCCCAGCACACTGCCCTCGCGGGGGGCCCAGGGGCACGGGGAGCAATACAGCCAATGCTTGGGCTTGGAAAGCTTTTACAAAATTCCTGAGAGATTTCCCCCTGAGGACTCAAAGGGTCTACAAAAAGGGTTTTCAAATGCCACCCCCCAGCCTGCTTTGGGGCAGGGGACAGGGAGTGGCTAGAGGAAGGAACTGTGCGTGAGGGGATGGATGGTGGGGCTCAGCGGTCCTCTGGCCTGAGAAACCCCCTCTAGGGCAACTCAAGCCCACCTCCCTGGGGCTCCGGCTCGCAGCATGTGAAGAAAGCCCTTCTTGGGGAAGGGGCCAACTAAGCTGCTCTTTCATTATGACAAGTAAAAAGGCCAGGTCAGAGATGCACGAGAGGGGATTTTGCCTCCCAGAGGGGGCCTGGGGAAGGGGCACAGGGACAAGCCGATGGGAACGTTATGAGACCTGTTTTCTTAAAGGACAAATCCGGTCTCCATTAAAGCGGGAGAGACTCCTGGGACATAGGAAGGGCTTGGTGGCTTCCCCAGGGCAGGGATTCTGTGTCCCAGCAGCTCCTACCTTAGTGCTCGCCCCATTGTCTCGTAGTTCATGTCAGGCTTGTTTTTCTGCTTCCCCCACAGCTTGGACACAGCTTTGGAGTCCACCAGCTTGAAGATGCCCTTCTCTCGCTGGGTCCACTTGATGTACTTGGGACAGGTGTTTCTGTCCTGCAGAAGCGCCAGAAGGAACTCCCACAGATAGATGGTGCTGCCTGCAGAGGGGTGGCTGGTGAGGGGCACCCTGGTGGCAGGGAAGGGACTCCCTTCCCACCTTACCTGCCTCACAGCCATACCTTTGCCATCCTTTGATTTCTTCCGTATAGGGATGCTGGGGTCAGTGACAGGTGAGGTACTTCGGTTGCCCTTGGTCTTCCGGACTGTGAGAGGAAGGTGGGGGAGGAGGATGAGGACCAGTTCCCGAGAGGGAGGGCCCAGGAGCTGGCCACGTTGGGAGTGACAAGGCTGACAGGGAGGAGCCAGGTCACCAGGGCTGGAGGCCCCAGGTCACTCTCCACAGCCCTCAGGTATCTGCGCCCTCATTTTCAGGCCCCCAAGGTAGCACCACAACGTGGCTATGATGTGAGGAAACGGAGTGGTTGCAAATGCGTCACATTTATGAGAACAGAATCTGCCTCGCTTCACTTTTGAAATGAAAAGTCAGCCGAAAGGCAACACTGTTGTGCAGGTAAGTGTGGCACTGAGGTTTTGGTTGCCATGATAACAAGGCAGTATCAACCAGCCATCACCTGAGTAAATCAATAACACCCTGGCTTGGGAAAGCCCAAAGTCCTCTCTCATATATGGCCTCGGCTTCATAAGCTGCATAGAAGGGAGATAAGCACCTGGCATGACTCGTCTTTTATGGGCAGAGGCCCCAGAGATCCAGGGACTGGCCAAGGGGGCCAAGCCTCGTGTCTAAACTCCCAGCCTAGGATTCCCTCTATTGGGATCGTTGGCATTTCTGACGGGGTTGACGCATACGCTGGGTAGACAGAAGCAGCACAGGAAATGTCAGCCTGCAGGCAGGCCAACGGATGAGGCCAAGTTTTATGGAAGGGAGGCCTTTTAGTCCATCCCGGCCACACCAGAGAGCTGGCCTCCTGCTGTGTCCCTGAGCCTTGGCCTACTCAGCCCTCAAGATCTTCCTGACCCCCCCACCCACACTACCCACCCCCTAGAGACACACACACACACTCACTCTCCCCTCCCTTACTTCTCTTCTTTGATTTCCCAGTCTTCTTGGCACTTTCCTCTCTGGGGACCTTCTCCTCCAGAGAATGCCCCTCCTGGTCACTAGTGTCACCCGCCCTGTTCAGGGCACCGGGCTCAGAGGCAGGAAACAGGTAGTTGGGCAGAGTGACGGCTGAAGCAGGGTCTGAGTCTGGAAGCATTTCGGAGGTACTGACTGCAAGAAGAAAGGCCTGAGGTGGGCGGGGCCCAGTATAGGGCCAGAGAGGGGTCTCCCAGAGCTGGAGAGAATGCTGGGTTCCTCGGGAGGGCGGGGCTCTTCCCCATGGCCCCAGACGCAGGATGCACCTGAAAACGCCTCATGTGTCTCGCACCACGAGGGGAGGAAACATCTGCAGAGCTGTGGGTACGAGTTGGCCCCAATCACAGCTGCCACACTTATAGCCCACTGCGGGGTGTGGGGAAGTTCCAGGCGGCATTCAGAGTAAAGAGCCACCTTGATTCAGTCCTTCGCTCATTTTATAGGGGGCCTTAGAAATCATTTGGCCCAATTCCTCTGCTTTCCTGATGAGGAAACTGAGACAGACTCAGAGATGGCAAGTCATGTGCCCAAGGTCTCAGCGGGTCAGTGCCTGGTGTAGGCAGGCACTCAGTCAGTATTTGTTGAATCCTGGATGAATATTAGCAAGAGTCTGGACTAGAAATCTCTTAACGTTCGGCTTCAGGGCTTTCTTTCCCCCCTATATCACAGCACCCCCTCAGGAGAGGGGAGTTGGGGGAACCCTCCTATGGTGTTATGGTATCTGCTGAGAGGGCAGTGGGAAGAGCCTGCCTTAGGGACCTTCTGGGGGGTCAGGAGCCAGGTAGGGCCGGCAGGGATCAGGCTGGCCTCCGAGAACAGGGGAGGGATGAAGATGTTCCAAGCCTGGCACGTTTCTAAATAAGTCACACCCTGCATTTCTTAGTTTTCCTAGGAGCCAAACACAAGGGCCCAAAAAAGTCACCCTGGCCAATATTATTTAGCCTTAGAAAGGAAAGAAATTCTGACCCGTGCTACAATACGAACAGACTTTGAGGACATGATGCTAAGTGAAATAAGCAGTCACAAAAAGACAAAAGTCACATGTGTATCGGTGGGTGTGGGACATATGCCTGTGTGTACATGTGCCTGGGAATCCATTATGCAGATGTGACATTTTGAAGTGGAATTTTTTTGCTGCCTTTAGTTAAGGCACTGAGGCTTGAACTTACAGATCTGCTTCTCATCCAGGATGTTGTTGGGAGACTCCACATTGAGCAAGACTTCAGTGGTCGACATGGTGTGTGAGGTGGCCTCATTGTCATCTGATTCCAGGTTCCACAGGGTGGGGGTACCGCAGGAGAGAAGAAAAGAAGAAAAGTTCCCTCAGGGTACAGGCAGGGGGACAGCTATAATCAGGGCCAGCCTGAGGATGGTGACAAGCAGAGGAGCCCTGGGACCTTGGCCAGAGGTACTAGGGACAGCCGGGAAGGGCCCAGCACCCCTCCTGCCCTAATTGGTCTCCACTCCTTGTTGTCCCACCCCATCCGGAACGATTAGGAATCCATTAAGATGGTTCCTCCTCTATGAAGCAACACTAACTTTTGTTAAGGGCCTTGGCCATTCTGTATGAGGTTACCAGAAGCCACCGTGGGCTGCTGTTCCGTGAAGACAGAACCCCTCTCTCCACCACGCTGTCCCTGCCCAGGAAGGGAACAGACCTGCCAGCAAAAAACTACCCTCCAGAATCTGATCCTGTGTCATGCACAAGGTCCCGTCCGTTATGATGCCATTGTGAATGTCGTCCAGCTCCAGTCCTGAGCACAGATGCAGTAATTCAGGGTAGGGTACCTGCTCCACGATCACAGCTGGGAACACCGAGGGGTCTTCCAACTATGGAGAAGATAGGGTCTGGTTCAAGGCTCACCCACCTCTTCTAGGAAGCCCGCCCTACCAGAATCTGGCCCTTTGTGCAATTCCTAATTCTTGGGGTCCTCAGAGACTGTCCTTTGTATAGGATGGCATTGCTCTGGGTCCAACCTCACTAGCTGATTCTTCGAGTGGGTTCTTGATTAATAGAGATGGGTTATTCCTGGACCACCTGCACTCAACCAAGGGCAAGCATTTTTAATTGGCTGTGGTTATGGGCTACTCTATGGCCATGGTTAGGGCTCAGAGTATGAGAAGGGGCTGAGGACAGTGGGAAAGGATTAGCTGATGGCAAGTGCAAGGGGCTCAATCTGTAGTCAGGTGGGGGACGACACAGCCAAGAGTCGGGGTTGGGGACCTAGTTTACGGCCAGGGTTAGGGGCTCAGACATCTTAGGGATCAGCCTGTGGCAAAGACAGTGGGAATGAAGACAGAACAGGGGCATTACAGAAGTAGAAAGGTCAGGGCCCAGTCACTGCCTGGATGAGGGAGGGGGTTTCAGTTTCCAGCTTATTTGGTGGGCACGCGGGGATACTGCTAGTGTTAGGGGAGAGCCCAGGAGGAGGAAGAACAGGTTTTGGAGAAAGATAAGAGGAACCATGTCTGGATGTGGTGAGCCTGAGGTACCCTTGGGATATCTAAAATGGAGATGCCTATCCAGGAGTCAAAAATAAGCATCCAAGAGTTCAAAAGGTAACTGGTGGTCACTCAGTCCCTTGCAGTGGATAATAGGAATGAGAATTCAACCCCAAGAGAACATAAGTGTTCTGAAATTAAGCAAAGCTAAATTAAAAAGGAGTGTGATTGCAACTATTTTTTTTTAAACTCTGTATTTAACACATTTGAGTGCCTATCAAAAAAAAAAACCCTCCATACAAAATATATCAGAATGTTAATAATAGTTATATTTTGGTTGTGGGACTTTGGGTGATTTTTTTTCTTATCTTTCTACTTTTCTGTCTTTTCCAATTTTTTTTTCCATGGGAATGTTAATTCTTTTTTCATCAAAAAAGAATGAGAATTGTGCCGTCTAATGTTCTTGAAGGATCCGGAAGAATAAAAATTGAAAAAGGCCTTTGGGTTTGGCCACTGGGCAATCACCCTGGCTAGAGCAGTTTCAGGGCAGTGCTGAGGTCCCAGGCCAAGTTACAACATGTCAGAGAGGACAGACTAAGGCAAGTAGCTGGGTGTAATGTTTAAGGCCCTAGAGTCTAGAACTGTGCTATCCAAAATGATAGCCACTAGCCACGGGTGGCTATTTAAATTTAAATGTAAATGAAGGCCATCCTAGCACTTTGGGAGGCCAAGGCGGGAAGACTGCTTGAGGCCAGGAATTCAAGACCAGCCTGAGTGAGAGCCAGATCCCAAGATCCCATGTCTACAAAAAAAAAAATAGAAAAATTAGCCAAGCATGGTGGAGTGTGCCTGTAGTTCCAGCGACTTGGGAGGCTGAGGCAGGAGGATCGCTTGAGCCCAGGAGTCTGAGGTTGCTGTGAGCTAGGCTGACCCCATGGCACTGAAACTTAGAAAGAAATAACTTGGCCACTTAAAAAAAAATATAAAAAAATTAGCCGGGCATGGTGGCACATGCCTGTAGTTCCAGCGACTTGGGAGGCTGAGGCAGGAGGATCGCTTGAGCCCAGGAGTTTGGGGTTGCTGTGAGCTAAGATGACGCCATGGCACTCTAGCCCAGGCAACACAGTGAGACTCTGTCTCAAAAAAAAAAATTACTATTTTTCGTTGGATTTTAATACATATGCAGCTGAAATATAACTCATTTTTACAGAGAACAGACATTATGGAAAAACAAAAATGAACCAGAGAAGCA